GAAACAAATGCGAATTTGAACGGATTACTGAATTTATTTTACTTTGATAATCGTCATAAGGATAATAGTCACATTGGGCTACATTTCAGTGCAAAAATCTTCTCAGTTTTTTCAAATAAAACCTTGCCAAATCGACTACCTACGCGTTCATCACTTTTTGGCGCTGTTTTCGCAAAAAAAACAAACTTTTTGAGCAGTATTTGGGCTAGAATTCATGGCGCGCAGAGTTACTTATCAGGCAAATCATAACTTTGCAAAAAGTCGAATTAGCGACCCAGTTTTGCGTGAGAAAAAGCGAGTGGACCCGTTTGACGGGCAAATTTTGAGGGACCCGCGTATCGAACCGGCTCATCCTTGTGCATGGTGGGCCTACACGCTGGCACGGTATGTTTTGCAAAATTGCAGCCCGATAGCTTAGTTGCAGCTTCCACTATGAATTTCATGACAGACAGATTTTCACACAGACACACAGACACACACAAAAAAAAACAGACGGCCTTAGCGCGTTATTATAGTAGGATAGAACCACCCATCTGGCAAAAGCTCAAGAATGATTTGTCAAAAACATTGCAAATCGCTTTCTCGATTTCTAGCCATTGAAAACCACGAAACTGTTCAACCTCTGCCCGAGAGGGTGTGCGTAAAGTTGGGGCTCACCAGAATTTTGGACGCCGATACGATTTTTCTTTTGGGATTTTCCAGGCAATTAGCGCCTTTCAAAATTTAGCTTCAGACTTCGCGCAGATAAACTTGTCGCGAACCTTCTCTCTGGTCTATCAAATGGTACCGCATTCACTTTTTTTTCGTGTTCACCCTTGCGCGACATTGTGCTATAGATCATGATGCGATATTGTTTTCCGGACACCTAATGATTTCGTGATGGCTTCAGACATTATGTACATAATCTTTAGCTGAAGTGAAACCTACAAGCTTCAGTATATTTTTGAGAGTGCACAGCTAAGCGAACGAATGTCAGATCAGACATCCCATCCACTATGCACTGATTAAAAACGCCCACGGCACCAGAGAACGCTTCAGAGAACAACCAACCTCCTCGCACAACGATCAAAATTCATAGCGATATCCTTTCAAGTTTGAACGCACTTTCCTACTCCGTAGATGTTCAAACATAGAAGCAGCAAGGGAGACAACCTCTAGCAAATAATGGCTGTTTGTGTTTGAGGGAAGTGTCTGCGGCATACACCATGTTTCAAAAGTGATGCAGCAAGAATACTCAACAGCAAAAAAGCACATCATGTGCTGAAAATAAGCATCTGACTGAAACCAACCAAACCCTGAAGGAGCTGAAATTGAAAGCAGATCTGACCACATTTCTGCCATCAGTTAGGTAATGACCACTATCATCTCTCCGTCCTGTAGTTGGCTAATGCTAGCAAGTGTGGAGTTAAGTGTTAGCGGGTATATTTACTCTTTTCGTAAAAAATTCAAAGAAACTCGTAATTTTCACATCCAAACATTTGTTGTACACCTCTTCAATTACATGAGATCCCTCAGGGCACGACATATGTTGTCTTCTAGCATTCCCGAGAACAGCTCCTCTATGACGTTGGACAGTTATTCCGAGATTCCCACTAATTATGCGATACTAGCTTGCTTACCCCGCTTCGCCCGGCCCTGTCAATGCTATGATTAAGGTTTTATCCCTATCCCTGTAGAACCTTTCATTGTGCTCACTTCTACATGCAATTCCCTATTCCCACTGTGTTAGTAATTAGCATGCCCACCTACCTCCCTCAACAACCCCCAGCCCCGTAGCTCAAACTTTGCAAAAAAAGCAATAAAATCGATAAAAGTAATCGATAGTCCTGGAAACTAATATTGTATTCGGAATCTCCATGCTCGATTACCCCCCTGTGCAAACTCCCAGCCCCGTAGCTCAAGCTTTGCAAAAAATCGATGAAATCGATAAAAGTAATCGATAATTCTGAAAACTAATATTGTATTCGGAATCCTCATGCTCGATTACCCCCCTGTGCAAACTCCCAGCCCCGTAGGTGAACTCAGCAAATCGATGAAAATCGATAAAATCGATATCGATCGATGACGAAAAGTAGCCTATGACACCCGCCGGGGCCCGAAGTGTATGTGTGCCAAGTTTGGTCCGGATCGGTTCAGAAATGGAATTTTCTATTCGGAACATACGTACAGACAAACATACAGACAGACAGACATACATACAAACAGACATTCAGCTCTATATATAAGACTAGCTGGCTTACCCGGCTCTGCCATATGTTCCGAATAGAAAATTCCATTTCTTAACCGATCCGGACCAAACTTGGCACAGTCCACTTTTCGTCATCGATCGATGTCGATTTTATCGATTTTTTGCAAAATTTGAGCTACGGGGCTGGGAGTTGGCACAGGGGGGTAATCGAGCATGCTGATCACCCGCACGGGGGTGATCAGCATGCTCGATAAAATCGACATCGATCGATGACGAAAAGTGGACTGTGACACCCGCCGGGACCCGAAGTGTATGTGTGCCAAGTTTGGTCCGGATCGGTTCAGAAATGGAATTTTCTATTCGGAACATACGTACACACATACAGACAGACAGACAGACAAACAGACATTCAGCTTTATATATAAGATGATGCTGCGATATCTATCAAAGCTGACTTTTCAGATCTATATGGCCCCAGTAAATGAAAAATGAAACGATGGTTTCGTTCGATCTCGTCACTGATTGATAGATTTGAGCATTCAAATCGTCCACGAAGAGGTCCAACCTTATGCTCCGAACCAACCTAATTAGTCTGGTGATGGTTTAGAATACATCAAAATGCAGAACTCGGGTTTACTACACAAAAGTTTTCAAAGTCTAGTTGGGAGTATCATTCTATACATACAACCCGAGTTTGATGTCATATGATTGACTGTGCGTTGTTAACCCATTGACGACGATGTGGACCACCGGTGGCCTACGCGCTTTTTGCTGCCAGGTACGATGTGGACCCCCGGTGGCCCACACCTCTCGCAAAGTCGTATTATTTGCAGGTCTAGTATTTTTCCACATATGGATATTTTTTCCTTTTTTTTGTATTCTTAGGACCTATAGGCTCTGTCGTTTCAAGAAAATGTTTAATGGTTGTTTACATAACAATGTTGCATTTCGTAAATAAGCACGAAACCTAACCCCCATAATGAAAGTGTTGTGCAAGTCGCGTCGTCCCACAGCGCCGCCGCGCAAAATTAGGCGTCGTCGTCAATGGGTTAACAAGCCTTTTGTTTGTTCGAGCACCAGTATGAATTTGACGCGCTTCTGAGATGGAAAATGTTTTAGCATGTCAGGCAAGTACGAACCTGACGGTGAAGCAGATGAGCACGTCTGGAGGTCGCGTGCACCCTTTGATTCGAACGGATTGGCAGCTGGTGGGTGGAACTTACGTCCGCGCGGCCGCCTCGCCAGGCTCTGCACCTCTTTCGCGATGTGCTTTCTAGTGATTGTAGCTCCAGCCTTCCCACGCTCGTGGTGGCAAAATGATTGGAGAGCAAGCTCACGCACGAGAATGCAGAGCCCAAGCAGCCCCTCCCTTCAACCGTCAATCCTGTTGAATCAGGGGGTATGTATGTTTACATGTCGTACAATACCTCTCTTGCTATTTGTCCCAAAATTGAGGAGACAGAGTCTGTTGAAGCCGATCCGAGGCCCTCTCTTACTACCCTCCTCCTCTAGTATATACCATCCGTACGACTCCATTCCCTCCCCACCTTACTCCTCCCCGCCATCTCCACGCTTTTGCGGTACTGTTTGAAGGAAGTCAGATCATCTCAAAGAATGCCAATGGACCTCAGTTAGAAATCATAGTCAGAGGTAAAAAAAATCTACTTACTTATTGGGAGATAATGCAACTAATGCTGGAGTGCTCCACAATTTTCCAAAATAAATCTGCGTAAGCAGGGTAAGCAAAATTCTACAAAAATTCTGCATTATAAGGTGATCGCAAAAAGATGGATGGTCTTGACGAAAAGGGCATTAAATCTGTTATCGACATCGAACTGTGATCTGCCTAGTGACTGTAAAATATGAAATAAAATAGCAAATGAGAAAAATTCAGGATTACAGAACAGTGTACTTCAGTCGTTACAACTGACCATTTTATAACAATTTTTCTAATTCAAGTTTTGAATTTGGATGAGACCTAGATACCCCCCCTTTTCCACTTTTCATTGCCGTACATAGAATTATAAAGAAAAATCAGACTCGATGCGGCAGATTTGAAGGCTTAAAGGCAGCGTCCGCCCAAAATTCCGTCCTCCATGTTATTGTTATCGGGCCTTTCCATGGAGCTGATTTCGAATACGAGGTTCAAAATACCAGAAAGCTCCAAAATTGCTCCTTTTTGAAGCCCTGATAAGGCAAACGTGGAGTGCCCCGGCGCTAGTCACGTCCTATGCAACAGGAAACCTTGTCGTGTGCAACAGTGCCACATCGCAAGCTATGCGTCTCGACATTGCTTGTAATGTCAGAACAAGTCACGGGCAATCGGGTGGGAGGTGCGCAAGAAAGGGGGCGGACGCAAAGAGTATCCGAATACGTTAATCTCCTTTTGTAGGCAACATTAGGGGACCGGAACAACGAGGTTGGTGTTTACATTTAGAGCCTGCTGGTAGGATAAGTAAATGTGTGGTGAGTAGATTTTGGGTGGACACCGCCTTCAAGCAGTCGCCCCCAAACTCTCAGCACGGGCTTTTGTTGCGCTTGAGCTATTCGGGTTAAAAGCAAGACGTTAATACAGAGTGTATGTGCTTACGGGACCCAAGACAAAGTATAGCACTCTTAGTTTGTGACAAACTTGATCTCCAGCCCGGGAAAACGCTTCAATCCGCGTGGTACTCGTGTGCAGTACAAATGAGAAGTGAAGTTAAAGTCTGCCGACGACACCGCACAGCATAGGTGAGTGACATGTCTGCACACAGCTTTCGAGCCTCGGATAACCCAAATACATGAAAACTTTCAAATTCATTTCTTTTCCACTCATACGCAACATATTTACAATCCAATGCAAAAATTTTGTTCATGTAAAAATAACTGCTAACCAGTGAAGCTCGTCAATGAGAGTGCATGATATGCAAAGCTACGTTACAAGAACACAATGATCAGTTTAAAACTAAATAGGTGAATGAAACAGATACATTTTTGAAGAGTTTATATCTCAACATCACATCGCTGCGCAACCCAGTCTCGCACAATCAAATACAGCTCTTTTTTTGCTTCTTCAGAGACCAGTCGCCGAGCTGGCTGTTTCAATTCGTCATAAAGCATTTCCAAATTCACATTTTCCACTCCACGTTCCTTTATCATTCTTCGAGCCATGGCTTTTACCTAGAATACAAAATCCATCTTTGTCAAGAAACAAATGAACCGAACAATCGGCACCTTTCACCATTGATTTGAAAAATGTTTTTTTAGCAATCTCATGAAAAGTAATCAACGGCAATATTTGATAAATGTAATCACAGTGCAGATCTAATAGGATCACATAGAAACTTTTCGGATTGATTCAACCTTTGCAACAACCGCTCAAGCTATTATGAGGCTAAGCCACAAGTGCTCGCAAATCTGGCAAATGAGACTTTCCGTCTAAACTGATTGTGGAGCCGTAGCTGAGCCATTGTTCGACCTGCAGCGCGGATGATTTATCCATAAAAACTCGTTTCCCTGCCCCAGTAGCATATATAGCTGATGACTTGCATCGGCTCACATTCCTTGCAGACAAGCACCACGAGGCCAGTGGATCCGCATAGAAGGGTGCACCTGGTGCAAGTCGTCCGCTACATTCACTGGAACAGTTCTGGAGGTGTTCTCGACCATAGATGTCTCATTTACGCCGCCGCTCAAATAATGCTTTGAGTAATCGGTTTCTGAAATATCACTGCCGTTCGCCTGAATGCCGTCTTTTAGCAACGATGGGAAAGAGCTGCTCGAAGAAATTGTGCGGTATATAGCTTAGAAAATGATAAACGACTGATGGTACTCGAAAATAGGAACGCAAACAAAATAATTAGCAACCGCCACTGTTGTGCCCAAGCAAAAAATCTATCAAATTCAGTATTGGCCCAGTTGCGTAAATTGAGAAGAGCGACGATGCTTTAACACGTTGACGACGAGCCATTTTCTGAAGGTCTGTCCCTATGGACGAACCGTTTCCGGGCATTTTCACAGCCGGCTGCATATATGTATGCATGCATCTATGCGTGAGATACAAAAATGCAAGTGGGCGGGGAAGCTCCGCCTACTTTTGGCAAGCCCCGCCCACTTTTCAAAAATGCTGGAAATCGCTCAAAATCAATGAATTCGTGCAAATTCCGGCATTTTTGAAAAGTGGGCGGAGCTTGCCAATCAGGGGGCGGAGTTTGCCTGACGGTGGCGGAGCTAGTATAAAAGTTACTTGAGGCCTTTGCGTTCATCTGCGGCCTCATCCATGCTTTTTATGAACAAAAAGGGTCACTGTGAGGGGTATAGAAGTGGGCGGAGTTTGCCAAAAAGGGGCGGGACTAATACATGAGATACATCTGAGCCTATGTTGGTTATATGAACAAAAACTGAGAGGATTGGACAGATAGTATTGAAATTAAGGCCGCCGCGCACCATTGCGCGGCGTCGTCCACAGGGACAGACTGCCTGCCGCGCACCATTGCGCGGCACTGTCGTCAACGTGTTAAATTGGTCATTTCGGAGGATAAGAGCATTTCGGCAAGGAGTCTGTGTGAGCTCTCAAAAGATTGATCCATGCAACCCAGACATCAGGGCATCGTAAAAGACGACCAATTCGAGGAGTAAAAATGTGCCACTGAAATTCTACCCATTTTTACATGGTAGTCCTTACAGGCAGTGCCTAGGCAAAACTGGATCGTGGCAATCCCATGGGGAGTGTTTTTCGTGGTTCTAACTAAGGCAGTGCCAAAGCCAGCGTGCATGGTGCACTCGCGGATGAGATATCCATCTCAAAAGCAGACCCCGCTACTTGTATTTGGCGGAAACATTTGCATCGGCTTCCATGCCTTTACGTGGGGACCGACCGTCCCCGTGATGTGTCCGCACGCAAAAGCATGTAAAGATGCAGGTCGTCCTCAAAGGTATCGGGGTATCACTGCCTTTGACGAAAGCTGGTGTCATTGTGAAAAGCATGCAATTGAAGCGGTGCATGTGGCGTACCGCACCGCTTCATGATCTACTGCCTTCACATGAGACTAGCTTTCATGACTAGTCACTTTTCATAGCTATGCCAAGCCTTTCTTACCATTTAAAGTGGCAAATAACGCACCTCAGTCACCCAACCATCCTTACGTAATCGAGCTAATAAAACCTCCTTGGCCCTTTCCTTCTCACCAGAACTGGAAAATTCAAGCTCCAGGTCTTCCTTTGTCTTGATGTTATTCATTCACAATCTGCAAGGGGTATAATGGTAGAAATAACAAATCAGATTTCAAATATGCGTTCGAAGTCACATAAATATTATGGATCTGACCAGTATAACCAAAAAAGGCTGATAGATTTACATTTATACAATGCATAAATGCATAACACAGTAAGCTTCAACAATGGGTAACAGAAACAGATAACAACAAGAGAAATACAAACAAAACTTTTTAACAGGAATTATACATATCATGTCACTGATTTAGCCTTATGAGTATTCACTGTTCTGATCTTTTTGACTCCTAAATGCTTTCGGCCCGACTTTCTTTTCAAAACTTTACTTTTAACAGCGCTTTTCTTCGGCTTGATTTTGGGGATCACTTTTTTAGCGTCATCACTAGCAACTTCCTCTTGCGTGCATTCGCTCTGCGACTGCATTCTCCTATGATAGCAGAGCTACATTTGGAAAATGCTTGTTTGGTTGAACATAATTCTGGCCATACATAAAGGGAAACTTACTTTTTCTCGAGCTTTATCCGTTTTCTCTCAAGTGCAACTTCTTCATTCATTTTCTTTAACCGCTTCTCAGCTTCTTTGTAATCATCGGATGTTAATATCTGAAAGACTGAACCACTCGACTAGCAAATCACTCCTAATAAATCTTGCTAATGATTACTGAAAAGTAAAGTGTCTCAATGGACATTCATGCTGCTGCTGTAAAATCTAGAAAAGAGAAAAGAAAGGATGGAGAAAATGGATTGATCCGTATAAATGGAAGAGGGGTTGCATAAAAATGATGAAAACCCTACTAGCAAGAAAGGTACATGTAAAGTAAATCACGATTTTTGAGATAAAAATTCAGACTCACTATTTCCGGCACGGGAGCCTCAAAACAATACGGGTCACCACCTTTCGCTGCAACGTCGAATCTAAAACCAAAAACTTCAGGCGATCTTCGTGAATGCGAGAGTTACCTCTTCACTAGATCATACAACTTTCTTCTTCGTCTGGAGATGGTCTCCGGCTTCTTCCCTATATCAAATAGCACCTGTCCAAGCGCTACATAGTCAAACTGAATAACATGATGGTTGATTATCAATAAGAGCTTCCAAGACAAATTTTACACCCGATTAAAACTGATGAAAAAAACTTCGGTAATGACTTCGCTACCTGAATTCCAGGCGGATTAGTAGCGGCATCGTCTGACTCCATCTTCGAAGCCATTTCTTCTGATCTCTGATGAAGAATAGTAGCAAAAATTTCCTCCGCAATGGAGTCAAACATATAGTCACTGCAGAAGAAACATACAGGAAGCGAACAGAGAGAACATGCAAGGTCACCTGATAGTTCGCACTGCTAGAAGTTCTGCAAAAGGTTTCAAACAAGCAGTAACTTGCTTCTTGTTCAGTCCACCTGAAAAGTTAAATGCAAGTAAGTGAACATGAATAAGGAATAGTGAAGGGTCAATAAGCTCGGGCTACAACCGCGCACTGGCGGCACGCACTCAGACAATTGTTGCAGCGGCCCGCTCGCCCAACTCGGCTTTGGTGCTGAGCCGCGGCGCCTAATAGCCAGCGCTAAATGCACCAGGCCCAGTAGCGGCCCATACGTTCGAGCTGGCGACCCGCGCGCACTGTCAACCCACGCTGCGGGCGGCCCGCACACCCATGTTGAGATCCAAAAATTCAGCAGTGGCCCGCACACCCATACGGACGCCCACTTTCTTTACTAGCGACCCGCACACCCATATGGACGCCATCTCAGTCAAAAAAGCCTCAAATCCATCCCTGTAAGCTCGGATTTCCAGTTTTCCGTGAGTTTTTCTTTTGCGAACTCTTATTAATCTTTATTTTAAGTATGTTTATTATATATTTTCACGTTTCCATACACTTTAATCCTTTGAAATGAGATCCAGGACTACGCCCTACGTCTCAACGGGAAGAGCGGAAGGGATGAACAATTGCAAAGCCTGCCACATGCTATAGAACAGGCCCTCATAGGTAAGGAGGACAATCTTTTTCATTGACCAATGATCGATGATTACAGACTTTGGAGAAGACGCTATGGGTCTGGGTCATGATGAATTGCGGAAGGGAAATTCGATCGACCTCGTTCGATCAAAGTAAGTTTACATTTCTCACTATTTATTCAAATTCCGTTATTGCAGATTTTATCAAGGCCTGGGAAATAGCAACGCCGAGAGGAACGAGGCGCTCGAGCAAATGACCAGGGAAAGGGAGAAATGGCGACCTTGCCTATACAGGTCGCTACAGAAAGCCCTGTAGGTTACAAGTTTATTTTGAGTTTTTCTTTCGATTAATGATTGCTTTTTAGGAGAGACGTCCGAGCCTACACATACGATGAAGTTCACGGGAAATGGAAGCCAAGCAGTGTAAGTACGAGTACTGTTTTGCTTTTGGTTGCCATTGTTAATTTGATACGCTTCATTGTTTCAGTAGACTCATTCATTTACTTTCAGCGTCAGAAGAGAGTGTTACAGTCGATGGAAAATGCTACATCACAAGCCGATCTAGCTGATTGACTGACGTCTCGAGGAGCAAGGATTCTCTTTCTATGCTGATTTGATCTTGATTGTTTTCCTGCCATGTGATTGTATTGTGATCTATTGTTTTGTGTGCCTTTCATCTTTCCATGTATTGTCGTTAATGAATATGTTTGTACTAGGTTCTTGGCGTTGTAGTTATTCGTGAAAAAAGCTTGCTTTGTGTCTTTCTTAGTAATTCCTCTACTTTTCATATCGCATTCTTTCTCAAGACATTCAATAAATGGTTGGGTGTAAACAGTGTGCTCAACAATGCAAGAAAGTTCAATAATAGCAAGAAAAACGAGAATTCCAGCTGCTGAAAGGTCTCTTTAGTGGATTTGAAACGGCCCAGCTGCGGCCGTTTATTCATCAGCCCGCACGCATGACAGCGGCCGTCATTGCAGTCGTAGCAGGCTGTTAACACGGCCAGCGTTCGTCCATCGCCAGCTCACCCGCATGGCTGGATGCGCGGGCCGCTATATGCAGCACTATATCACAGGCCCACCCGCCTGTCCAGTCGGGAGGGTCGCTGCGTCCGCTGTAGCAGTTGCTGGCCCGCGCTACCATGGCAGGGCAAGGCCAGGAACGGGTTTTCGCCCAGCCTGCCATGAGCGCGCGGGTGGCCCCAAAAATTGTCTGAGCAGTCTATTTGTAACGCATTCATGGGCACAATCTAGGTAGTTTTCTACGAAAACCCCAACTTAAAAGATTTTGAGCATTCATTTTAAACATACATATCATGATTCACATGACAATCGAAGATGAGATCGATTTAGCGAAAACCTACTCGCAACCATAATACTGACCCGCATTATCCAATTCATCAAGGATGAGCGAAGCAAAATGAAATTTCAGTCCATCGGGGAATGAGCGATCTGAAAGTAAGCTTTTCTAGAACAACGAATGGATTCTGGAGACCATACCAGTAGACAATGTTGTGCATCGAAATGCATCCCAATAAGCATCGCGCAGCGACTTCTTCCACTTCAATGATGCTAGGTATTTGAAAAGTACTCGCAAAACGCGACGCATCATCTAAATTTTTTTTGGTAACAGAAGTCATCAAGCAACGTTAGTGGCAACATGAACAACATTCTAAATTAAACTCGCCATCAGAAATTTGTCCATACGCCATCTATCGATGTGATTCCATTCCTTCGCAAGACTTTTGAAAATGGACTGGATAAAAAGAACTCGCTGATTTTCATGCGTAAAAACAGGAAGTAGCTGGCTGATACGATCAGCTAACTCTTCCTATAAAGTCGTCTCTGATGTATTACTTCCACATGATCTCAAATACTACCTGTAGCAACATTTTGTCTTGCATCCACAGAACATAATGAAGTCCTTTACATAGCCTGAGCATATCAGCTTCGGTGAAAGCTGGAAAACGAAGTAAGGAAATGAATGGGAAGGAAGAAAATGCATACTCACGATTCACAGCCGACTGCTGTTTGATCCAGTCTTGCAAAGCACGAAATGCACGCTGCCGCGTCACAGGCTCGCCGCAGGCCAATTTCTGGGCGAAGACAACCTCGACGCTAGTCAGATCAGCCTCCATCGGTATTTACCTTAACAATATAGTCATATAGATCACAAAAACCGACGAAAAGCTTACTAATCCACCAAACAAGGAAATCAGAATTAGCCATGTGAGAAAATGGCGTGAGTTACAATAGCAGGTACGCAAATCACGTCCTTTTATATTTGAATTTCCGTCAAATATTTGAGGTATGACGTAATTACACCCTGGCGTAGGATTTGCTGTTTGCTTTTGAAGTTTTCAATATGCAAAACGTTTCCCAGGGACTCAAAGAGTTCGTCTTGACTTTTTCATGCACTTTGACACAAACAGTTTTGTGTGGGACGACTACAGGGGAAGGAGAGTTTTACGTACGCACCGTGCTTTTTCACCTCATCTGGGGCGTTGGTTCCGATAGTGCTTCTGTAAGTAATCATGGATCTCACAGCAATAGAAGTGATTTCAGATGGCAACACGAGGTCGAGCATCGGGAGGCAAACGTCCTGTTTTGCCAAACCTTGCACTTGCAGGCAAACGAGAGGAAAAGTCAAGTACACCAACACAACCGAAGAAAAGGAGGTACGCTTTGAAATATAATAGCTTCCGAAGTCCCATAGAAGCATTTTATCAATCTATTGTTTTTTTAAAGGTATTTCAGTACCGTTGTTTCTGTACTACTTTGTTCAATTTCATTTGGAAACTGTTCGCGAGCGTTAGGTAGAGGTTACGGTAAAACCTGGTTGATGCGTTCCAACCCAAATTCGGATTATCGCGAGATCCTGCTAGTTATACTGTAGAGCCCGATGCGGTGAGAGTTGAATCTGGTAGCTACTCTTACGTTTTCATTCGAGTTATATGGAATTAGCTTTGCTTAGAGAGTTGTTTAGCGGGTACGAGTAGCAGTTTTGGTATTTTCGGCTCATATTTGTGTATACTGTTTGGAAACTATAATACGCTTGTCCGGAACACCAACGCACAAGCTTGAAAGCGTAGGGAGTCGAAGCTCTAGTAGAACTTTTTCGTATGGACATGACGTGCATTCCCTCTGAACGTAATTTTAAACGTTCGGATTATTTTACTCAATATACATTCAGCAGTGTTGAAGACAGCATAGAAACTTTTGGGAAATAATTTCCTTTCGCGGCAATTGCTTGCAAGTTGGCGTTGAAGACACGGCTCGTTCAGTTACATAGATTACGTAGTTCATATCGGTCTTACTATGTATTTCTTTATGAATGGCGCTCAAAAAATACGTTGCGTATGGCCTCAATCATACCGCGATTCGGACGCTGCGCGCTGGCAGTGGGTGGTGGCATCTCAGATTGGTGCTGTTGAACTTATAGTCTCAGTTGCAGTGTCCCATTGAGGTGCGGCTAGGCATCTGCTGCTTATGGCGTTCGCGTTGAGGCCTTTCGAAAAACCGATTTCGCAAGCCGAACGCATGCAAACACCGCTTGACACACTCGCGTGCGAGTGAACGGAGACGCTGCAATTGAGGCAGACTGTGCTTGATTTCTTTGGTATTTTGTCATCTTATTAGTCGCAGGTTTACATTTCATGGCATCGGGTGGGTCGTCAACCTCGATAGCGTAAATGTTTGCAATTCTAGAACCATCGAAAATTACATGTCGCGGGTAGGCGGATTGCCAGGTTGCAAATAGCAATCGCTCAAAATATCAAAAATTTCGGGGTTCGATTGCGAAAAGAACGCAAAAAATTGTAACTTCTGCAACTTTTCTTTCCTAAGAAAGTTTCTAAGTCTTTGTCTAGCTGTATGTGTTTAGCTAGCTGTTTAGCTATGTGTGTTTCAAAGGCAAACGGTTCAGATGTTAAAATCAGGCTAGTTGCTTTTTAAGCGAAGCCATTTTCTAACATGGACGTTCCCGAAATGATTTTTTTTCTCTGAGCCGGTGTTTGTTTCGCTTTTTGACGCTAGTAATACGTGTGTATATGCTGTAGATCAGCGGAGACATACGTTTATAGTGTTTCTTTGTTCACAACAAACTGCCAGATATCTTATGCTTACCGCTATGAAATGTGACCTTTTGAAACCTGCACTAAAAGAGAACTTGTTAGGTTCATACGAAGATTATTATAAAAATCGTCCACAGTCAGCTTTCTCCAGAAGCGACCGAGGTGAACGGCGAGGTGGTCGTGGTCGGGGACGAGGCGGACACGGTGGGAAAGATCGTCCAGCTCTAATTGAATCAGCTGGAATCTTCTCTGAAGGATTAAGCGGTGCTGACCCTGGCCATCGAAAGATCAAAGATGAACCAGGTAAATTTTTCTTACAGAGCTACAAAATCTTGTCTTGAATGTCTTATTTTTGTAAGATGTCAGCATCACCCGGATCAAAGAAGAGGTCAAATCTGGAACAATGCCTGGTGAAGGTTATCAAGTCAGTTATGAAGAAATCTGGGAAAGTGATGAGGAGGCCGACATGCAAGAGCTCAGCGAGCTTTTCAGAGAGGGAGTGAGTATGGCAGTCTTTTTCAGTAATAGTACAAAACTGGATTTGTTTAGTTTATTTCCGATTTAAAACATGGAACTGTGCTGCCGCATGTCCTTCCGCTAGAACTTCAACCACAATTTGTTGATCTCATGCATAAGGACGTGCAGCAAGGGATACTGGATGAAGAAGATGAAGTGAAAGCTGAGATAGAGTTGGATATCAAAGATCACATCTTACCGTACGTTTTTCATGTAAATCTCCAAAAGGACATAAGAAGTTTGAGCTATCACTTTTGTAGCTTATCACTCCTCCCCAGTTTTTGACATACCAGTTTCTCAGAAGCCGTAATCTCTTTTGGCTGTGAACGTGCACAGAAAATCTATTTAACGCTTTAGTTGTGGCGGCTGAAGATATTGTAAGGGAATAAGGGAATTTGAATAACAAATAAATGGAGAAGATACAAACAGTTACATCATCCCACAATTATATCGGATTATTTTTACCTTAGAGAAGAAGGCGATGATCAAGAGACTGGAGAGAGTCGTGAGAGTCCAACTGGTAAAAGGAGCAGGAAGGCTGGTCGAATACTCAAAAGTCTTGACAAAGGTATAGTGATTTAACGTTTTGAATGTATGTCATACTATGTGCGTTCCCTTTTTGGTAAGAAAAAAGATTGTACGAGCAAAAGAATCTCACGCAATAGTAAGAACAACCAGTGGCGAATCAAACTTAGCCATCTTCCATCACTGAAATCCAGCCTGTGTGAACCTGCTGGATTGTAAAGTAAAAATTGGCCGGCATAAATTTGGCACTGTTTCTCTTTGGAGGCGTTCATAGCAGTTCTCTTCTTCCATGCTGAAAACTTTGCATCTAATGATTATTGTTATGTTTTTTTTGTACCCTCATGGCGTATCGCATACAATAACAAGAAGAGACAGATTAAAATCTAATATGTAAAGAATTAAAGGGAAATGATGATTGTTGATGCAGGGTTGTCCTAAACTTGCTAGCTGTGTTACATGGGGGTCTTAATCATGATAATTGGTAATCTTCTCCGTCCACTAGTTGGATATAGAGCAAATTCAAGAAAAACCTTTGGCGCGATTTATCCGCTTAACGTGTAGAAAGTTACATGCAGATTATCAGCAATCGAACCTTCAGTGGCGTTTATTCCTTCCTTCAAGAAGAAAAACCAACAAATGCATTTCTGTTCAATAGTTTGCTGAGTATCTGAATCGAACTTTCGTAAAGTTGCCTCGAAAGAGCACGCGTATGTTTTTTCTTTCAGAAACACGGGAAAATGATCTCTTCATGATCCAGCTTCCAAGCATCTTGAAAGTCATAAGTCAAGAAGCTCCATCAGAAGACAAGCTCATCTTCCCCAGTGAAAAAACAAATGGTGATACAAAGGTGTTCAACTTTTTGTTTTTTTTAACTCCAAGCTTTGGATGGGCGAAGTCTTTGCATCCACCCGCAGTGTGTGATATGCTAGATCATCGTGAATCGAGTCAAAACTCCGTTTGTTTATCGCTGGGAGTCGATGTGACATCGTGCAGTTTTCTCTAGGTGTTTTATATTCTGTTCGTATCTCCAACATTGTTGCAGTTCATGCACACCAATGGTGCTAATGCTTCTGAAAAGCCTACGGTAGAGCAGTTGAAGCTACCGGCTGGTCGCAAAATTGGAAAACTTGTGGTGACACGAGGAGGTCGCGTGTATCTCCGAGCCGGTGGTCACGTCATGGATGTAGCTCACACAGCATCGGAGAATCAGCATCAGGTAAGCGACTTTTGATCCATTTTCCATCCTTGCTCAATCACCCTATCTACTTTCTCTTTTGAAGGGCGTTATAATGATTGAGACGGCAAGAGACGTGCATGCTATGCAAAATGGATGTAGTCGGTTTGGGGAGCCAATGTATAGGGATGGTACAAACGCTGTTTACTACTTGGGACAAGTACGACATCATTTGACCGCATCTCTCGACTGGAAGCAACTTCGGCCAATCGGAATGGAAGTATGTGACGTTGAATACTCTTCTTACTGTGCTCTGAACAAATGCGCAAAACTGCAAATTGGCAGAGGCAGTCTGTCCCATCGGGATCAGGCTGAAGTGGTTTGCGCTGCAAATGCGTGCTGTCGAAGAGAGCGCAGAGGTTTAAGAGAGAGCAGACAAGCAAGTCGTAGACGTGACGCAAGACTGTGGCGATGCGTATGCGCATCATCACTCTAATATTTCTTGATCTATATTGGGACAGACTGTACAGACAAGCAGCCGTATACACTGCGATAACGGCGTGACTCCCAGATGCACTCACACATGGACTGTAGTATAGTCGATTCGTTGACGCAAGGGCTGGGTATCACGCGGAGTACGACGGCGTAAAACGCTTGCTACAGCACATATTCGCCATTGTAAAGCCGTGCTCTCGCAACGTTCCAATCGCGTCGCGCAACGTTTGAGCAGTCCGTGCGGTCAACGAATGGACGATGCTGATCATTCCACCGCCATCCTCTAGCGTCTATGCACTGGCTTTGGCACCCCTGCAAGCTTTTGATTTTGGTGTTTGTATGTGTGTATCAACGCATCAAGATGATGTACTGCCGTTCATTACGTAATTGCAAGCGAAATCTACAAATCTACAAATCCTCTGGCTCTGGCGCGGTTGTTTATGTCTAGGTCAGGTGCAGTAGTGGGGACCGTCAACACTTGGGTTTGGGTGGGTCTTACCTACGCGATGTTAGTCGCAGCGCCATTCAGATGGCTGCAATCGCCTAATTCGAAACCCTTTTTGCCGAGAACACTTAGCAATTTGCACCAGTCGAAAACCATGCGCCTTTGTATTTGGAAAGCACGCACGATGGGATTGTAGACAACTGGCGATTTATTTATTTATTTATTTACGTAAACAGTCGATTCAAAAAAGATCACACAACATAAGTACAGTTTGGACTCAAACAACCGACATAAAAAATCTTGCTCCTTTTGAAAAGTAATGTGCATCCCATTGTTTAAATGCCAGCGAGCTTGCGGGCAAAAGCTAGCTGACTTAGCCCTCAAAAAAGAATCTCTTTTCAAATAAGCGGCAGGATCAGGACAATAAGGAAAATGATTCGCCATAAACAAAAATTTTTTGTGCAAAAAAAGACATAAACTATCAATAAAAAATACACAGAGGAGAAGAATACATAGAAGATAAAAAAAAGGTACAGAGGTGCTGAATGGTAATTTTGGCGTTTTGAAATAGCTGGTCGAAGATCAGTAATAGTGATCCAATAAAGCGTTTTTTACACCGTTCTGTAAAAAAATGTTGTTAGAAGAATCCTTTAGATTTGAAGGTTTTTTGAACTTCTCTGTTAAACACAAATGTCGATGAAGCTTTAATCGCCGTTACTGGAAGCTTGTTCCATGTGTTGATTATGCGTATCGGAAAAGAGTCATGAAATTGCTGTTTGCACCTTTCCTATGATAAACCTGAAGTCATGTCCTCTAGTTATAGCATTAAAGTTGGATAATACGAAAAAATCGTACATCGTGAGATAGATTCTTTTAGTCATAATCTTGTAGACGAGATTTTGATCATAAATTGTTCTTCTGAGTCTCAAAGAGGTAGTGGCAAGTATAGAAAGTCTTGATTTGTATGACACATGGAAATGCCCAGCTCTTGCAAATATTCGTGCAGTGAATGACTTCTGCACTCTTTCTAAGGCGTCAATTGCATTTCTCTTAGTTGGAGACCACAAAGGTGTACAGTATTCTAGCATAGGACGGACGTAAATGACAAAAAGCTTGAAGAGAGTTTGGATTTTCGTCGTTCTAAAGGCACGTAATATGTAGTTACATAGAGCATGGGCATTTCTTGTAATTTCATTTATATAGTCGTCAAAGTTGAGGTTGTCAGAATAGGTAATGCCAAGGTCTTTTATGGAGTTTGTCACTCGAATCTTTTGACCTCCTATGTAATAAGTGCACGGTCGTGGATGTTTAGCTCCAATAAGCATGATATGTGTTTTCTCGACTGAAATGTCAAGGTCCCACTTCTCAGACCATTCTACCACCGCATCTAAAGCTTTTTGCATCAGCCGAGGGGAATTGCAGCAGTATAGTTTGGTATCATCTGCATAAATAGAACAGGTGACACCATCAGGAAGAGCTAATGGTAGATCATTTATGTACAGCAAAAACATGAGAGGCCCTAAGCAGGTCCCCTGAGGAACTCCGCTGCTTGTTTGATACGTAGAAGACAAGGATTCATTGACTATGACTTGTTGAGTACGATTTGATAGAAAAGATTGGAGAAATTTCAGAAGACAACCTTTCACTCCATATGCATTGAGTTTGTTGAAAAGTAGTTCTAAATTTACTGAATCAAAAGCTTTCTTGTAATCTAGATAGCATACGGTAATGAATCCTTTTTCATTCATTATCTTATGCCATATTGATATAGTGGACATGAGAGCTGTAAGTGTCGATCTTTTAGGTAAAAATCCATGTTGTGCTGCATTTATGAGTTGGTTATTTTTCGAGATATTTGCAAATTTGTTTGCAAATTATTCTCTCAAACACTTTGCTAACTGAAGAAGTTAGGCAGATGGGTCTATAGTTCTTGGGTTGCGATCTGTTGCCTTTTTTGAAGATCGGTTTCACGATCGCTGTACGCCAAAGTGCTGGGGTTTCCCCGTGGAGTAAGAATCTTTGGAAAAGAAGGCTGAGGGCAGAAGAAATGCCAAGCGCTGCTTTTCTCAGAAATATGTAGGGAAGTCCATCAGGTGACGTAGATCTTCTAAGAGGTAATTTTTTCAAAATTTGGTAAACAATGTCACCAGTGATATCCAAAAAATCAATTTTCTCATTTGTAAACTGTGGACATTGGGTTTTAACATTTGTAGGTTTTTTGTAAACGTTCTTAAAAAATACGGCGAATGCTTCAGCTTTTTCTTTATCTGATTTACATATGTTACCTAATGAATCATAGATAGTTCCAATATTGTTTGTCACCTTTAGGTTTTGATTACAAAAGCGAAAGAAATTCTTGATATTACGGCTACGTGCAATGGCATCTTCCTCAGAAAGCCTGCATTGGGCCAACTCGCGTTTGAGCTTTCTAGAAAATCTTTGATACTTTTTAATTCCGGTTCTATGTCTGGTTTGATACAATCTGACATACAATCTGATTTGCTAGATTGCGTGCGATCGCGATGTGGCCAGATCGCTTGAGGTATGGCCGAGGCTTTGTGTGGATTTCGCCGCCATATAAGCATCGAGTGTCGATCTTCTGAGTATCTGATATGGTAACGAACGGAAATCTTCGTCCGAATATCGAATAATTGATTTTTGAAACTTTTCGAACGAATGAATATTGAATGATTGATTTTTGAGATTTTTGAATATACAATTACTATTCGATTTCCGATTTTCATATTATCCGAATTCGAGTAATCGAATATGGACACATTCCAAAATTCGAACTTTCGTGTATTCGAGTAACCGAACTTGGTCGAGTAATCGACTGTTCGAATAAACGAATGACTAAATATCATCGAATATTCGAATGCAATTTCGAATAACATGTAATATTCGAGTTTCAAAAGCATTAGTCGAATATTTGTATATTCGAACAACGGTTTTCAAAACTTCTTGAATATTCGAATAAGTTTTTCGAGTCGAGTGAGCGAATCATTCGAATGAAGAACTTTTTTCATTTTTTCGAATATTCGAATAATCGATTAATTGGACTTTCTTAAATTTTCGACTATACGAATATTCAACTAGTCGAATATTTCGAATAAATTATTCGAATGCGGATATTTGGTTTCATCTATAGTATCTGCCAAGCTAGCTTTACAGATTTGTTGCTTTAAAGTAAGTGAGTTTGCGAAATGACGAAAATTGTCTCTGAAATGACGCTTCGCGTCTGATATTGTGATATGCAGTAGTGAAGTCTTCGATAGATTATGTCCATCCATTTGATCTGATCTAGAACTTCTCAGAAACCCTCATCAGTGCCAACTGAAGCGATGGTGTCCCCATCGAGAACGGCCAAACCAGTGGACTTGGAGCGTATGCAGCGAGAGCTTACTGAAATACAGAAACAGAGAGTCGCTGATATGACGGCAGCCCTCAAGCGATGGAACATCTCCTAGCTTCAAATGGTGTGAAGTACCACTTCGATCTCCTTCACTGCGACCAATGTGTCTTGTAAAATTTTTTTTTTGTATTTGTTTGCGCTAGGTTCTTTGCTTCAATTCTTTCCCATCATTAAGGTGACTTTCCCCATAGAGCTCTATCTGTTTTTGTTATATGTGCAGTTGCCCGTCTGTTGACTTATAAGATTGTTATTCTGTTATGTAGGTTACCGTTAAACTTTCACTTCTGTGGTTTGATTTTTGCTTGCTATACTTTTGATATTTTTCGAATTAGCTCGTTAGACCGTAATAAATTAATCTATTCAGTATACACGCGTTGTACTAGGCGTTCAGTGGCTTCTCTAGGTTAAAGCTAAGCATCGTTTACAAATATCGTATCCGCCTCCAGCAAAGTTTTTTTTTCGAAGCTGTACTGTTTGTCTTTGATAGAATACATGTTTTTGCAGTTTCTTTTCAGAGCAGAATACAGTAAAGGACCCAGCGCATTTCAAAATTCTTACGTATAAAGGACCACTCTAACATAAGTTCAAAGCAGCTGCATGAAAGTGAATATGTTAGCGATCAGAAGAAAAAGCTACTGTACTTACACTCACTTAAATGAATGCGGCTAATTGCCAGTGTGCCATAACACCTGCTGCTTATTGTCCTTAGAAATTAGTTAAATTGTTCTTATGTACTAAACTAGCTTGCTCCCTACGCAGTGCAAGTATAAGCTTCTGAAAACTTGTAGCCAGTCTTTAATCTTTTCTTATCCGTTACTGTTTGATAGAGATCTTAAAGTTCCGAGCAACTTATCGCAGTACCTCGTCATCATATTGGTACCAAAGCAGAATGGTAATAAGCTACCGCTACGAAACATTCATTCAGACCTGCTTTGCCATTGTCAAAGATTACAGAACTTTTGGCTATTAACTCTAATTTCACTTACAAAAATTCATGAATGAAATGTTTAGCGAGCGATTAGCATAATAACAATAACAGGTTGGCAGGATGATTTCGCCACACCACTTTCAAAATTTCGAAACTTCTTCTAACCAATTCATTTGGTTTCATCTTTGTTCAAAAGAGCAAATTGTGCTCTTCATAACAGTAATCTGGCGGCTTTTTACTGAGCATATATTGCTTGGATAGAAGCGGTGGAAGAAAATTACTCGACTTTTGATTTTCCGTTTAGTCATAAGAATTCCAAAAAATGCAGTAAAAATCAAAGCAGTCGTTATCAGGCTTTCCTACCTGCTTCTTCTGATAGAGCAAGGCTGCTCAAGCATCTTTATGAAAAGTTGTATTTTTCGCAAAAATGCCAAAAAAAATAAAATTTGCTGTTTGTATTGGTTGCTCGGAATTCATTGCTTTTCATAGACATCAATCAGCAAAAACTTTGTCTAATCAAAAAGGGCAGATAATAAAACCTATAATAACAACTGCTTCAATTGCTTCAAGTTTTAGTCTACGACCGAACACACAAAAATCAAAATATGAGTAATTTTCTTCTACCGCTTCTATCTAAGCAATGTATGCTTATTAGAAATGCGCTAGAATACTGTTATGAAGAGCATGATTTACTCTTTTGTACAAAAAAAACAAGCGAGTTGTTTGGAGAAAACAGAAGTTGCATATTTTTGAAAAGGTTGCGTTGGGATTTTCGTGTCAACCTAATATCTACCTACATATGAAACTGTTGACTTTGCGCATTCAAACTTCTTCATGTTTCAGAATGTATTACTTAACAAACAATGACATCGCTTATATTGTCGCTCTTGCTATCTTAACAACATGGAGCATTCTTGCTAACGCATTCCTGCTCTTCATGATTATCTGCAAGAGTCCCAAACACCTTTCACCGTATAGAATATTTCTTGGCAATGCAGCGCTCACGCACTTGCTGCTGTCTATTAATATCATTATTGTTGCGCCAAGGTAAGTGAACAAAATACGAATTTTGAAGAAAGCTTACGGGAAGTTACGGCGAAATCCCGCTAATACAACGAATCCAGCTAATCCGGAGAATCTCGAATCCTGGACCCGCTAATCCACGAAAACCCTCGTATTCCATCGTTATGGCTGTTTTCGTTAGCATGCTTGGGGCGTTTACTATGCCCATCTACAGCCTTTGCCAGAATCTTAAAAAGAATCTTTGGAGAGCTCGTATGTGCAGAGGCGTACGAGACTAAGTACTTGGAATATCCGTCATAGACGCATGAAACGTCTATGACGGATAACCGGGCTAAACGAGAACTTTTCCAAAGCTTATTTGCACGACTTCGCAAAGTAAGAAGAAAATAGATTTCAGAGTGATTTCCTTCTCTTATCCGATGCATCTTTCTTTCGTATATCTATAAAGTAGTGGAAGACAAGGCATGCTTCTGCCTGTAGTAGAAAACTAGATCGAAATAAAGAATGAACAGCATATGTCAGTTTTATCTTCTTATTAGGTCATTCCGAAAGTAATTTCGCTTTTTTCAAACGGATGCCACATACGATGGAACAAAGATTTCTAAGAGATCTTGGTAGCGTTCGATGCAGAATTTCATTCTCTTTCTAATGGTTACGGAATTGTTGCAAAACAGTCAATGTACTTTCAGAAAATAACCAAAATTTGCGACCCGTGCTTTTTGAGATGGTCAAGTTTCACGACTTTTTAAAACTTTCATATCAATCTTCAGAAGGAGTTCAAGTAACGATTCGATAGAGTAAACCTTATAAAATACAGAGCTGCTTTTTTCTTCTTTCCATAGCTTGTCATACATATTTAACAGAATTTTAACTGATGCTACCGATTTCCATATTTGGGCAGCTAAATCCTCGTAGAACATCAAAAGAAGAGCAGCTCGCGCACTATTCGATGCAGCATTTTCTCCTCTTTCTAACAGATGTTTTTTGTTTCCGATTCATTTAGTTTCCGGGGAGAAATCATCATAACTCATTTCTTCAGCGAGCCCCAGGCTGTTCCCGAAAAACTCGAAATTTGATATTTCGAACCCGTAAACCCTCACATGCTTTGTAAAATTTGTGCTATCTCATGCTACTATTTTGGTAGTCTCAAATTCCGAAAAATTATGATGTTTGATGCGATTGTGGCTGAGGTGGGCCTGCCAAAATCCGATGGTTCTATAAAAAAAATCTTTTAAAAAATTACGGCGAGATACAAGGAAAAGAAAAAAGTAGCACTGTATTCTATAAGGTTTACTCTATCGAATCGTTACTTGCAATCCTTCTGAGGATTGATATGAAAATTTTAAAAAATCATAAAATTTAACCATCTCAAAAAGCATGGGTTGCACGTTTTGGTTATTTTCTGAAAGTTCATTGACTGTTTTGCAACAATTCCGTAACCTTTAGAAAGAAAATGAAATTCTGCATCGAATGCTTCCAAGATTTCTAAGTAATCTTTGTTCCATCGTATGTGGCGTTCGTTTGAAAAAAGCGAAATTACTTTCGGAATGACCTAATATAAAACTTATTGTCTTCTCTAATGCTAAACACAAAAGCTGAACCGTGCAGACTAGTACATCCTCCAAAAACTTAACAATTCTTCAAATGCGATACATGACATGACGTTAGTGTTGAATTGGATTAATCATTTTGCAGGAACAAATTTTTTGAATTACATTATAAATAAATTATTGTTATTAAATTATTAAATTTTATTTTTAGAAAAAAAAGTTCCATTCGTAAGTACGAAACCTAGGCTAAAATACTCCTCAGTGCAATCAAAAGTTTCTCATTTGAACTAATTTCTAATTTTGAACTAAAAGTAGCTTAAAAAAGATGAAATCAACTGTGAATCGCTCAGCAACATTACTTACGAAAATGTAAACATCTGAAGACAATAAAAAGTTTGTCGAGTCCAAAATGCGTTACATGGTTTCATACTTGCTCGATCATATATCTTATTAGAGAAGAAATCAGAAGTTGCAGTGGTCTTTTGACAGATAGGTAGCATTGAAAATACTAACTTCAAAACTGAGTCGGGAGTTATGGATATTCTAATAAATGAATTTCACATCGTTTAGAGTACCTGTCATCATGGAAATCGATGTCGGAGAGCACTTCAACATAACATTGGTGAAGTATAGGATCATATTGAGCATTGATAAATCGTTCCATCTGTGTTTGTGCCCAAAATACATTGGCTCTGATAGTTTTGGCTACTCTCAACTGAGTAGCTGAGTTGTTAATTTCCGCCAAATTAAATTCATTAACTTCCAACCCGAATTTCGTTCTGCAGCTGGGAAGGGCTGTTTTGGGAATCAGCATCCTAAGCTGCTTCTTCAAATGATGCCCCTCTCATGTCAAAAAGCCACTGTGACTTCTGACACTTCGTAAGTAAGACAAGAAATCGTACCTTTTTAGGATAATGACAGAAGGATTGAACCTTGTTGTTATCTACCTTGGCCCAGTCCAGCTGCTTGGCCCATGGTGCAGCTATATGCTATACATAATATTGAGTGAGTGTGAATACTCAGTTTTTTGTGGTCATTACAATGCTTTTTCAGTACATTTTGCATTTAATTCATTTGTTTCTCTCATGATCTCGATGGTTTATCGGTATCTTGTTTTACGTCTTAGGTATATTTCCACCCACGTAGCAGTTCTAATGTGCCTCGGAGCATATTTATTGCCTCTCTCAATAGTGGTGAGTGCTTCAATCCCGTTCTTTTGCTTCATAATCACAACAAAAGCAAATGGTAAGGTGATGTTCAATTGCCTATTTTCCCTCCCCGTAACCGCCTCCTCACTTGTTCTTCGCAAACTGTCAAGCCCAGTAAAACTTATTTCCTTTTCAAGGGCTATCATTGACTTCGTACAAAAGTACCGAAAACTTCTACAACTCAGCATTGTTTCAGTTTCCTTGCCTTGGTATGGAGTACTCCGCAGATACTACAAAGGCAGCTGAACTAACACATTACACTTTACCACACATAGTAGACTACGCCGTTGTGGTTACCGTGAATGTTATGCAGGTAAAGTTGATGATATAACAAGATTACTAGTTTACGAATTATGAACGTGAGGCTCTCTCTTCGACAGTGACAGCGTGCATGCGGGAATTTACTCTAGTTTTGGCTTCTTACTGTTAGTAATGGTCAGATACTAGGTCGGTCCGAAAGGTTGTGCGGTCTCGACCTATTACCAAAGCATGTGGAGCAGAAATAGGTAGACGCTTTCGGCACTATCCAACGCAGCATTTCTTTCTCTTTCCAGCAGTCGTATTTATGAAGTTGTTCCAAGAAAAATCCGCGGCATGTACAGATTTAGCAAAAGTCCGAAATTTTTGGATCTAT